TTAAAAATAAAGGACTTTACTTTAAAAAATATTTGTATTTCATATATTATATTACTGCATTTGGCCCGCAGCCCCCGATAGATTTTCATTTTGGCCCACTCAAGGAAAATGTTTGGGCACCCCTGCTATAGACGATAAAAACATTAAAGTCAGAATCATTGAATCTTTGCATGTTTTTATAGCTATTATAGCTTTAACAAGTTGTTCAACTAGATGTGCAGAGTACAGCTTTAAACTCTGTTCACTTCACCAGCTCTGTTCCATCAGCTCTGCTCCATATCATTGTACTTTTGGTCCCATCAACCCCCGGTGTTACTGTTTGCACCTGTGTACAAGTACACAGAGGAAGAAACAGATGCTGCTGATCCAGGTACAAAGAAATTCAGCTTATCAAACCTGAATTAGCAGGGTTTAGATCAATAACACGACCATACTGTCGTCTGTCAGACTCTGAAGTTATTGTTCCGATGACTTGAAGAAAAAGTCAACAGATGTTACGAAACTATAATTTATTTATGTTTTTAGTTACTCTTAAGTGACAGCAGGTGTGGCCTGTAATGAGCAGATGCAGAGATGCTGTCATGGTTTAATAGTGACATTTAAGAAGAGGAATAGATTGTTTTTAGTTGCAGGTGTTTCCTCCCATAGACAAGAGAATCCATCAGTAAAAGGCTTTTAGTCAAACTCTGTACCCTGTTCCAYCTGTGGGTGGGTGAATAAATGAGGGCAGCTGTCAGTAATAAAACACTTCTGCTCCTGACCCTGCATACATTAATTCTGTCAGACCCGACCAGACCAAACAGGAAGTGGATGTGAGGGAGGCGGAGGGCCGTCCTGTTGCCTGGGAACCCAGCTGGGTGCAAAGCATTGATCTTATGATAATCCTGTCAGCTGGTCAGTCCGCAGCACACTACTTTTAGGTTTTCAGTCTTTTCCTCTTTATCAGTTTCATTTTGCTGTTAACAGTTGCAGCATCTGACTTTTCTGCTCGGGAGCAAATATTTGTACTGAAACAGGCAAGTTCCTACTTATTAATACCAAAAACTGTATTTTTCTTTGAACTTGATGCGTTCTTTTGTTTCTGCACACAGTAATAATGACTAATTATAAAATAACGATCATACTGCAGACTTAATAATGAAGCTGGTTTTCTGAGTAAATTAAACTGAAAGTGATGAACCCCTAAAAACATCCTACCTCTGAGTGAATTTATGCCAGAAATAAAACTTTTCTGCTCTCTGTTCAGTAGTTTCTTATAATAATATTAACTGATCTGAAATCAACAGTTTATTTTATCTGAACAATAACCAAGTCGAAACCCACCTGAATTTTTTTGATTTGTAACTTGTAAAATTAGGATTTGTGTACCTGTGAAAAAAATTCACCTGCAAAAAATTTAGATTTGTGTACATGCAGAAAAGACTTGTTTGTATTTAAAAATTTCACCTTCAAAAAATAAGATAAAATGATACACAAATATTTTCTGAATGTAAAGTCACAGAAAAAATGTTACAAATGTGTAAAATAACATTTACACAGATATAATTAAAGTTACAGACTCATAATTTATCATTTATTTATGTGTATTTTTCTTAAATTTATGTCTATATTTTAATTACAACTACAACTCGAAGTTACAACTTAACTCTGCTGCTAGGAGTGCGCAACTCTCCTCCTGCGCATGTGTGCTTCTATTACTACTATTTTTATATGTATATGTATTTATATGTGAATGTACAATTGGTAGTGAGATTTATTAAGTTTCACAGGAGGCACCACCTAAAATCCTTTGGGAAGTGGTCGATGCGGACACAAGTCTCTCAAATGTGGGGTAGGGGTGATGGCATGTTCCTGTAACATTATTAGGTGTAGAAGGAAATTTAGGACAAAAGATAGTTTTACTTTAATCCTTGGATATTTTACATGAATGACAACGGTCCTTCATGTTTTGTTCAGGACTGCACTCTYGTTTCCTGTACATAATTAACAGTTAACGTGTTGGTAACAGCACGTGCATCATGCGTGCAATCTTCTCGCAGGTGAATTGTCAACGTGAGTCGGAGTCATCAAGTTTGTGCTTTGCAAAATGAACACAGTTGCTGAAGAGCTATTGGATTTGCATTGTAATAAAACCATTTATAACTWATTTAGCAGTAGCAGCAAGTAAATTCAGGCAGTTCTTGTATTTGAGGAAATGGGTCTTGGAAAGTCCTTGAAAGGTCCTTGAATTTGATGTTAACCAAGGTGTGGGAACACTGATGAAAGTTTCATTGAAATCTGTCAAATAGCAAGATATTTTGCTAACAGACAAWCATGGTGGACTCCTGAAAGCCTTTAAAATATGAGCTTGTGTGTTTTGTTAGCACTCAGAGTATGTGTTTGGAATAAGTCACAACAACCACCACACTGAAATTTGGCTGACGTGTGTGTATAATTTACAGAGTTATAGCTGTGGATAAAGTCACTTTGCTGTGGTGGCCATTTTGGAATCAGTTGATTGCGATGGATAGATAATTGTAGACGTACTCACTAAAGATCACTTTGTGAGTGTTTCATTAAAATCCATCAAGTMATTCTAATAGATAAATGAAGACATTGTCTGCGTATTACTTTTCAGCTTCAGGTGACAAATACACAACCTGTGCCGGCTCAGAAGACTTCTTGATGTTTGAGCCACAGCTTCAGTTCAGAAACAACAAAATAACAGTTAAAAAGACAGCACCACAGCTTTTCATGTCTAACCGCTCTGCTTGTGGTGTCGGTGCGTCCACTCCAGTGAATCTGTTCAGGGTTAATGACAGAGCTTCATCAAGTGCCGCGGTTGAAGTGTGTGTGTTTATTGTGTGTGTGTGTGTGTGTGTGTGTGTGTTAGAGATGCATGTCCACCAGACCAGCCCGATGATTCATCACAGCTCCATTACGTTCAGGAAAAAGCTTCCTTTTGTCTCAGCCTGAAGAGAAAAGAGCCGGCGGGCCTGTCAATAGTGATTATACATGACAGGATGCAATTTCCCTCTGCACGCCTGAGTGTCCGCGCGTGTGGTTAGTCATCCTCATGTAGGTGTTCCGAGCCGGCGTCCGACGCACGAGAAACCATTTCTGTTTTGTCCCGATCGGTAATTAACGTGTGCGTTTCATGCTGTTGTGCCCCCCCACCCCACCCCCCCTTCCCTTTCAGTCGTGGACAGAAAGAGCAAAAGGACAAAGTGGAGACGCAGCAGCAGAGATGAAGAAAAGAAAAAGAGCCGACGGAGGTGGAGACAATGAAACGGCTCAAGCTGATGAAAATAATGCCAAGAAGAAGAAACCCCTGGATCCCTCCTCAAAGCTGTCAGCGTTTGCTTTTAACAAAAACTGATCTAACTTTGGTTTCTCATAAATGACAGTAGTTTGGTCATAGTTCATGTTGAATATGGAGAAGACGTTGTGATTTTACTTTTCTATAAACACTTTACTGTATTTTAACAATTAAATRTATTTGTTCATATTTCCTGTGTTTTTATTTTTATATAAAATGTGCACTCAAGCTGAGCTTGTTGAATCATGTTGAATCTTTTATAATTTGCATTTTCAAGACAACTCATTTTACATAAAGGCTTATTGTTTCTTGAAGGAATGCACGTCATCCGCTTTTCTGAAAGTTAGCTCATATCTCGTTGAAAAATGGAGTTGTAGCTGATTTAAAAACCTTAAAAATAACAGTATGATCTCCGAGTTTGTGTTGTGAATGACTCTGCTACTACCTCAAATCTGAGCTCAACAACTGTAAAAGTGTCAGTTTTTGTGACCACTAAGGCTGCTTAGTTGTGATAGTCATCATGACAAAGATTGACTTCATAAGGTCATTAAATCGTGTAAAAAATATGATTGTTGCAATTTTTCCCCCCCTGGTAATCAAAGATTGTGAGTATTATAATGAGCAATTTAATAACAAAATGGCAAATGTAGGTTTCTCTATTATTCATTGTAGTAGTATAAGTATGAATGCTAGTTTATCAAAAATAACAGTWTTTAAAAAGTTATTTTAGTACAAAAGCAGTCTAGTTAAATGATGAAAATATAAATCACTTTCAAATTGAAGGTTATGAACTTTGTTATACAAATAGAAATAATAAAAATGGGCAAGTTTTATTTATTCATAGTGCATTTAACTGTAAAATTATGGACAACATGCCAACAGTTGATAAARTAATGGAAATAATTAGTTAATATAAATATAATAAAAAGCCACTCCTGCATGGGGAGAACATGTAAAAAACCCAGAAAGGACTCAGGCGTTGGATCTAACAACCTTTGTGCTGAGAGGCAACATGTTGCTCCATCAACCGTTCCACCTGATTTTATATTTAACCCTATAACCTCCTGAGAACCTGCATCTTACTGTTTTTGGTCTCACTCCCATTTATTCTTTTTGCATTTCAAAACTACTTAGAACCTCCAACATCAACAAGTTGGTTAAGTTGTCTCTTACACTGCCTTTAAGCAGTGCAGATTGTGAGAGGGAATTCTCACATCTTTATAATAAATACCAAGTACAGACCTTGTCTGTCACTSGTCTCTCAGCCCTGATGAACCTGTCAAAGCAGACCACAGAGACTTTTGATCCAAAGCCAGCTGTTGACCTGTGGATGGAAACAGCTAATCGAAGGCTCAACCAAGGACAGGGAGGTGCATCTKCATCATCGGCCATGCAGGAAGCAGAAGCAGAGGACCCTGAGGAGGACAGTGAGGAAGACTGCACAAATTAAGACCACTCTACATATGGGTGAGTACCAAACACCATCTCCTGATGCTCACCTGAGTCACTCACTGAAAATGTTATGTGCACCCCTGCTTGTTATTGTGCTTGAATTAAACACGGTTACAGTCGTTCACCTTTAACATGGGCATCAAAACTGTCACCTTTGAGTATAAAGAACATTTTTGATTGGTTACCGCTTCTTCACAATGCATTAAAGAGTTGTAATGGCTGAAAACAGTGCAGTGGACAGAGGACACAGATATGCAAAGTGTGGGGGACGTGTCCCATGGTACCCTGCATCAGTTACGCCCTATGAACTTCAGAGGACCAAACACCGTCTTTYCCACTGTAAATGTGTGATATRCCACTATYTGTAATACACCATCCTGTTATTCTCTGCCTATTTTATTTTATTTTATTTTATTTTTTATTCTTTTTTTTTAAAGTTTGCAGTGTAAGGTATTAATTCTTCTTAATAATTTCATGGAACCCTATTTTCAAAGATCTGAACTATCACTTTTTAACCCGTCTGTTTGTTTATTGATTTTTTTTATGGTTACTTATTCACGTGTAAACTCTGAAGWCCTAATAGGTTCAAAGCCATTGAGGTATATTGACTAGAGGCACTATCATGTGACTTTTCATTGTTGGAGAATAAGCAGCCATCTTGTGCAGGGCAAGGACTGTGCTYCATGCAGGAAAAGCCTTGTTCCTGAGTCTGAATTTGTGAAAGGAGAAATGTACCATCTGCTGAAATTAAATAAAGGTGGGCTAGTCGGCCCTTCTCAGGGGACTGTCCATGCTAAGAAAGCTCTCCAGATGTCCATGAAATATATGTCAGAGACATTATTTAGATATAAAATAAAATATAATTACGTAGAAAATAGATATAAAAAGTCTACACACTCCTGTTAAATTCCAGGTTTTTATGATGTAAATAATGAGACCAAGATAAATAATTTCAGAACTTTCTCTACGTTTGATGTGAGCTATAACGTACGACTTAATAGAAAACAAAAATAAATATTTTACAGAGGGAAATAAAAAACTGAAATAAGGTGGCTGCATAAGTATGTGCACCCTATTATATCTGGGGATGTGGCTGTTCAGAATTAATCACATTTAAACTCATGTTAAATCGGAGTCCGTACACAACTGCCTTCATTACCAAGAACTGGATGCCCATCCAAAATTTATGAAAAGACAAGACATAAACTGGTCAGGGAGGCTGCCAGAGGCCTACAGCAACATAAAAGGAGCTACAGGAAGTACTGGCTGTGTAAGAGAAGTACTTGAAAAATAAAACTAAGTAAAAATTACATGAACAGAAAATGTCTTTGGTAAAAATAAATTTCTTTGAGAAAACTACTCAAGTAAAAGTCATAACAACTGGGAAAGTAAAAGTACTTTTATACACTCTAAGAAATAAACTGTTGAATTTACTGAACTAAACTGGTTCTGAGCCAGRTTGAGTAAATTGCGCAATATATGTATATTATTTGCTCAATTTACTCGACTAATCTTAGTGAAACCAGCTGGCATGACTCATCTCTTTATTTTTTAGAGCAGAAACATCTTCTTTCATGGTAAGTTCCAACCATGGACTTAAATATCACTAGACTGAGCCCCGCCCATACCGTCCACTGGTGGTAGCAGCTGTGACAGGATGGAGGAGCAAAAATGGCGTCTAACAGGGCAACAGCTCACAGCCTCCATAGAAACTAATAGATAAACAGCAAACTGAACTGGATCTGTTTCACAGATTATCGGTCATGTTTTCACAATAAATTAATAATTATGTCAATTTCATTCAATAATCATGTAAAACAGCAGATTTATACCAAATATATACTGTATATATAATTTATAAGTAACAATGATCTAAACCAGACCTGAAGTCAGCCTGTAACTTAGACTTTAGCTAGTTGAAAAATGATGACTTCAGCTAGTAATAAAGTATATTTATTATTTCATCTTACTGTCATAAAAAATAAGAATATTTTATATTTACCAGTCAACAGGTTAGAAGATGTTCTCTGGTTATAGGATGAAACTTGTCTCTATCAGCTAACATCTTCTCAACAAGTCAGGTTCCTCTAGAAACCTAAAAATATTTACATTTATATTATTTGACACTCTGTAGGTCTAAATATTAATCAGAAGACAAATCAGCTGTAACATTTAATAGTTTGTGTTAAATTGTAGCATGATTCAACAGTGCTAAACTCTGTATATACTCCACAAGCTAATATCTGCTAACCAGTTCAATAAATAACAGTGATTACATCAACTTTATAAGATTATTTTAATTTTAAACTGTTACATTATGTTCTGCTCAGATCACATTGAGCTAAATAAGATCAAATCTGCTGACTTGTGTTGTGAAATGAGACGTTTTCCTGTTTATCTTCTGTTAATTAATCCATAACACAAACAGCTTTTCTGGCATAATTTAAAACATTAGGTAGATTATATAAACTGTAAAATATTAATAATAATTTTTTAGTTCTAATATTAGTTATTTTTGTAGTTTGAATATGTAACCTCCAGCTTGTGATGTTCCTGTGAGTTAATTAACCAACAGCTATTTGATCGTCAGTCAAAGCAGTCTGTTATAGCAACACCTTCCTAAAATAATCTCGTAACACARTTTTGACAACAAAGTACTTGGGCAATAGTTTTAAGAAGATCCTGGTGCTACATGGCTGGGCTAGTTTAATCAGTCCACACAGCTCAAAATAAATTGACAAACATTAAAACTAAGGATATTCTATCTATTATTTCAGTTAGTTTTTGTAAAAAGATTATACAATTTTAGCTAGTTATCCCTTTCACTGTATTACAATTTTTACTTCAGTTAACTAAAATGTTATTTTTTTCAATTTCAGTTTTCATTATTTAGTTAGTTTTAGTTAACTATAACCCTGCTGTTTACTACATGCTGCTCGGGCTGCTTGGGTCGTGTTGAAACTTTGACCTCGAGGACAACTGGAACGCAGCATAAGGCCTACATACAACTTTTTATGAATTAGTTTTATTAAATGTCCCCAACAGGTAATGGAGCCCGAAGWTGGCATGAACTGACTTTGAGCAGAGGTCTATAAAGTGCTTGAAAAAGTAAAAGTATTATTTTTAGGTTTTGAATGTAAAAAAAAGGAAAATAAAAGTTACAATTAAACAATACTTTGTAAATAAATCCTCAAAAAATTCACTGAAGTACTGTAAAGAGGGAAATGTATTGCTGTGATGAGTCAACTTTAGTAACTAGAAATATGAATGGAGTGAGTTGACCCCGCCCCCTGCTGCCTCTCAGCCAATAGGAGAGCTCAGTGGATTACCCGCTCTTATAAAGCCTGCGGATGCTGAGGTTGCTGAAGTGTGGAGTTGACACYAGAACGAGGCAGCATCTGTCCAACGAGACAAACTGGTCAAACTCACCCAGCAGGAAGGAGAAGCTGAAAGTGATGGAGCACTCCAAAACAACAAAGTACGGTTCAAACGAGAGGAAAGACTCCGGYGAGGACAGCAGCTCGGTGCTGAACGGACACTTTGACGCGCTGGTGAAGCGGCCGCCCGGCGGAGGCAGCGGCGGGCGGAGCACCGCCRCCCCGGCGGCGGAGCCCGGCTCGCACCGGCCGACCGCCTCGGTGATGGAGAGCTGGAAGGAGGAGCGGACCAGGAGCGTGGAGGACAACGAGATGAGCYTGCCGTCCCTGGCAGCCGCCTACACCACCATCCTGCGGGGGCTCGGGGAGGACCCTCAGCGGCAGGGACTCCTCAAGACCCCGTGGAGGGCCGCCACCGCCATGCAGTTCTTCACCAAGGGCTACCAGGAGAAAATCATCGGTGAGTGCAAATCCACAAAGCTGCTCAGAGGTTTAGAGCCAACAGGTGGCCTCTCTGACTCAGGACAGRAAGAAAAGTTCATCCACACTTTCAGCTCAAAGTGGGACTAATTTAGTTCCAGAATAAAAGCTGTCATAGATTATAACTGCAMAAATATATACTTCACGTTTTAGATCGTCACTTTTCTAGAAAAAAAACTTGCTTTAAAAGAAAAATCAAACATGAAAGTCTGTTCACAGTTTGATCTGATAATGTATGTTTATACAATCAGCTGCAGGGTAAAGTCTTAAAAACAGAATAAAACAATTATATTACATAAGCAGGAAATACAAAAGGCCATGTTGGATAGATTTAATTTTACATTTATTTACTGTAAGGATGACCAGAGCCAGCTGACCATAAAAACATTTCCTATAATAATCAGTTTTATAGGAACTGATGTAAAATMTGATCCCAGGCTGCACACACTGATGCTGCGTGATCACAGTTTGAAGTTTTGCTCATAACTCTGTCTCATGAACCACTAAATGGMTTTGAACAAATCTTTTMTAGATAAACCAGTTCAAGAYGGTCRCTGCAGATTTCATYCAGTTGGTTTTACAGATGTTGTGCTCAGATTTGATGTGGTAGCTGAGAGTCATTCCCAACACGTCCTCCAAAGGCTAATCAGGAGCTTTGCCATTAGCTGTGGGAGTCAGTTGTGTTGTCTGTTAGTAAAATATATTATGAACCACTGGGCAGATTTTAAAGAAACATCCTGAAAATCATTATTCAAAGACATGGTCATCACAGCTAATCGCCATTAGTCACCACAAAACTGGATTTGACTCGGTCGGTTTTACACGTGTTAAGCTGAAATCTAATGTGGTAGATGAGAGCACCACCCTGTGTGACAAGATTCTCAAGATTTTTAAACGGCTGCAACTTTGTCATTTTCAACCCAAGATGATCTAAAACCCATGTATGAGAGTAATATGCATTCATCCAATGAAAAGTATTTAATAATCATAAATAGATCATTTTATAACTGATCAGCTTCCTGTACATCAACGGCACAAACGTCTGTTGAAGTTTCTCTGTTTGTAGAATCCTTTTTCTTTTTTTCCTTTTGTTTTACCTCTTGAGTTTTTTAATATTTGTAAAATTTTTATAAAATTACGTTGTCATCGTTTATCAACGTCTAACAGAGGTGTCAAAAGTATTCACATGCATTACTTAAATAGAAGTACAGATAGGGTTTAAAGTACTTTTTTGGAAGTAGAAGTATCAACTTGAGCTTTTTACTCAAGTAAAAGTATAAAAGTACTGGTTTTAAAACTACTTAAAGTATAGAAGTAAAAGTAATGAACACTTAAAAAAAACAAAAGCTCAGGGTTCTAAGCGTACCCCCACCCCATCCTTCTAAAGTCAATAATGAGTTTAACGTTAAATTAAAATGTTAATGTTGAAAAATTTTTGAATTAACTAACTAGACTAGTTGTTTTAGCCATGATCATCTTCATTTTAGGCTCCATGTGCTCCAGTTTGTCCTGCTGGAATGTGATGTGATTTGTGTCATTCAGGTGTGATGGAGTGAGTTCAGTCCAATGGTTTATATTTACACTTCTCATCCAACCACAATCAAATTCACTCTATCCATGGGCTCYATGTGTCTGGATGGATTTCTATTGATTTATTTTTCTGAACAATGGAAAGATGGAATAAAAAAAGTCATAGTTAGAAGTGAAATACTTTTTGCATTTTTAAAAGTAGTAGAAAGTACAGATAATTGAATTAAAATGTAAGGCGTAGAAGAAAAAAGTGGGCTGAATAATAATTACTCCACTAAAGTATAAATAACCAAAATTTGTACTTAAGTAAAGTGACAAAGTATTTGTACTGAGTTACTTGACACCTCTGACTTCTAAAGGAGTAAAAAGTGCAAAAATTCCCATAAAATGTAGAAATTTAGAAATAAGAAGTGACCTAAAATGAGCAACTATCAAACATCTTTTTGAGCTGTTTTTACTGTTTTTAATTGTCATTTTTTCCATTGAGAGACTAAATGAATGAATGCAGAACGAATATGTTTTGTTACGTAGCACAGAATAAACTTAAAAGAAAGTAAAAGTATCAGAATATCAGCATCTTGTTTGCATGATTGTAGATAAATCTGACTAAAATGCAAATCCAGGCTGAATTAATGTATACCTTTTTTTGGCTGCAATATGTTTATCCTATAAATGATTTAAATAAAATAAACAAAACATTAAAGCTTCTTGATGCAGTAACTGAAGAGTGGTGTCAGACTTAGGACACAAAGTCTTTTTGTGGACTTTGATCCTCCAAATGAAATCCACATCAAGAAGTCCACCATTTTTTCTGAGTTGAGTCGTTTTTTTTTTTTTTTTTTTTTGCATGATGACTTTTCTCCTCTCACTGCTTTGCTTGTGCTGTGTCATGTTGAGAAAAAAAACCTGGGGTCGTTGGGTCCACGTGGGCTGGTTCTCCCATTTTTACGAGGCTTTGGAGTGGCTGGAGCGGAGGATCTGCCCCCTCCAGAGCTGCATCTGGACGTAGTTTTGATGTCATGAGGATTGTTGTGTGCGTCGTGAAGCTGAGGAATAAAGGAATGCAGTGAGGGGTGGGGGTTCAAATCCAGATTGTTACGAGAACACTTGGTTGCATTAACCTGCAGCCCCTCTTGGCTCTGGACTGAAGCTAATGATGGTGCAGACAGCAGAGGTGGTGGTGGTGCTCCAGCTGTCTCCTGATAGGCTCCCAGAGGAGCCTCCCCCTCTGACTTGTTGAACAGGAACAACGACCACAAACACAGATTGATGAGTGCAGATTTGTGGGAAGTTAAAGCATTTTTTTAAAGGAAAGTGGCACATGGTTTGTTCGGGGGTGGGGGGGCTTCACGTGTTTTTGCTCGTGCAGGTCACAGGTTCTAGCTTTCATCACAACCTGAGCTTCAAATCCTCTTGTTGTGGACCACATGACGAGMAGAACCACAGCAGGGGGAGAGCCAGGTCTATGTGAAACAAGACAAGGGTTTCTGTTAGATTTTACATCTAGAAAGGGACTTATTGTCTAATAGTTCATTTTCTTTAGATGTTTTAGGGATAATAAATGTTCATGAAAAAGAAAATGGCAGACTTTAGAGAAATTTGTATATTTTATGTCTTTATTGTTAAAGTTTATCTTAAATGAGCTAAAAATGAGCAATAATCACCTGCTGCTGGAGGTGCTGATGTTTTTACGTGTGTGTGTGTGTGTGTGTGTGTGTGTGTGTGTGTGTGTGTGTGTGTGT